TAGAATAGAATATAGAATAATATTGGAGAATAGAATAGAATAGAATAGAATAAATTTGAATAGAATAGAACAGAACAGAACAAGAATATGCACCTCCTGGAAGCTAAATTGGCACGGATTTGTGGGCCTCTACCGATAGAAGGGGAAAGTTTCCCTTGGAATGGCAGAAAAGCATCGGATAAATAAGACTTTTTCAACAAGCAACCGAAGGATCAACCCACGGAGAGTGTTCTCCACCCTGGAGTGTCATTCTGCAAGAAGAAATATGGGTTGCAGGAGGGCTCGGGCGTGGGAGGCAGCTGGAGGAAACCATGAAACGGGGGTCCTGGAATTGGGAAGGGAAAATACGGAGCAGCCTGGATTGTAAATTCCGCTCAGAGATTCAGCTTTCGGGGGCAGGAGCCTCATAGCTCTTTTTTAAAAGGATATTGCTCTAGTGGGATAGGAAAGGGGATGCAAAAAATAAGGCCCAACCCAAAAGGAAAGAAAGAGGAAGGAAGGAAGGAAGGAAGGAAGGAAGGAAGGAAGGAAGGAAGGAAGGAAGGAAGGAAGGAAGGAAGATGAGAAAGAAAAAGAGGAAGGAAGGAAAGAAGAAAGAAAGAAAGAAAGAAAGAGAGGGGGAGGGAGGGAGGAAGGAAAGAGAAGGAAAGAAAGAAATAGAAAGAAGGAAGGAAGGAGAAAAAGAAGGACAGAAAGAAAGAGAGGGAGGGAGGAAAGGAAGGAAGGAAAGAGAAAGAAAGATAGAAAAAAGGAAGGAAGGAGAGAAAGAAAAAGTGGAAGAGGAAGGAAAGAAGAAGAAAGAAAGAGAGAGGGAGGGACGGAGGAAAGAGAAGAAAAGAAAGAAAGGAAGGGAAGAAAGAAAAAGAAAAAGGGAGGGAGGGAGGAAAGAGAAGGAAAGAAAGAAAGAGAAGGAAGGAAAGAGAAAGACAGAAAAAGAAAGAAAGGGAGAGAGGGAGGAAAGAAAGGAAGGAAGGAGAGAAAGAAAGACAGTCAAAGAGAGAGGAAGGGAGGAACGAAGGAAAGAGAAATAAAGAGAGGAAGGAAAGAGAAGGAAAGAAAGAGGTAGACAGAAGGAAGGAAAGAGAGAAAGAAAGACAGGAAGAAAGGAAGAGGAAGGAAGGAAGGAAAGAGAAGGAAAGAGAGAAAAAAGGAAGGAAGGAGAGAAAGAAAGACAGACAGAATGAAAGAGGAAGGGAGGGAGGAAGGAAAGAAAGAAAGAGAGGAAGGAAAGAGAAGGAAAGAAGAAAAAAAAGAAAAGAAAGGCAGGGATTTTTAAAGCGATGCGAATTGGGGAAGAGAGTAAAATAGGAATTAAAAGCCATTTTGCTCGGGGTGGGCGGCGTTTCAGCACCACGGACAGCGGGCGGGAGGATAATCCCGAATTGACCTTTGATTGCATACTGAAGATTTAATCTGCTAATCTCTTTTTATTTATTTTTTTCCTAATTAAACCCAGTCCTGGCTGGCTGGGGGGGGGGGGGGGGGGGGGGGGGGG